GAAGGCTGAGTGAACAAAGACAATTTTGCAATACAGCCTTAGGTTAGACGAAGGAAGATGAGCCTCAGAACAGCCTTATTCTCCTGTGGGGAGGTAGCCCAGATCAGTAACAGCTGCATTCAGAGCCAGGATGGAATACTCTGCTTCTGTTCTGGTGAGATCAGAATTGGGGTAGCTCTGGGTTGGAACAGGGTTTTTGGTAACTAGTTTGACATATATGCAATGAGGATTACAGTAATATAGATTTTCAATAAAACCCTGCCCATAAATATTTTGATATAGTATTGAGGTACATAGTGGTTACCCAATAAACAGTATCTCTAGCCTATCTGGCTCTTACGGTGAGTTGAATAATTAAAAGATTCCAGAGATTTTCTTACAATTCAAGTTTGCAAGTTACTCAGCCTCTCTGGGAAACCCAGGAGGTGGCAGTCAAAAAAGTTGAGTCCTAAAACAAAAAACACGATGAACATTTCAATACAGATGGGATGGGGGGGGGGGACTAAAGGAAGGACCCCCCATTATGCATCTTAACCACAACAAAACAAAATAAATATATAAACATCTCAAACATGTTGGGGAAGGAAAATCCTGAAAATATTCTAGTTGGTAAGGAATAACAATTGGAAATTAGTTGTACAATACTCATTATTTATTTAAAATGTTTCTGTTGTTAACCCAAGGTTGAGAAAGGACAGTGTTGATATGTTGGGGGGTTGTTAACCATTGTCATAGGGCAATATGTGTACTAACTGTTTAATGAGAAACTATTTGTTCTGTAAACCTTCATCTAAAGTACAATTTAAAAAACAATTTTTTTTTAATGTTTCTGTTGTTGTTAGGTGCCGTTGAGTCACTTGACTCATAGTGACCCCATGTGATAAAGTAGAACTGCCCCCATGGGGTTTTCCAGGCTATAATCTTTATGGGAACAGATTGCCACATCTTTTTCCGCAGAGTCGCTGGGTAGGTTTGAACCACCAACCTTTTGGATAACAGCCGAGCGCTTAACCATTGTGCCACCAGGGTGCCTTTAAAATTTTTCTGACAGTTATTATTTAACGTGCTGCCTTTATTGTTTTATCTTAGTAATTACAGAGGGATTTCGTCTGTCTTGGAAGAAGTACAGCCAGAACGCTCTTTGGAAACAAGGATGGTAAAACTTTGTCTTATGTATTTTGGACATGTTATCAGGAGGGGCCAGTCCATGGAGAAGGACAGCATGCTTGGTAAAGTAGAGGGTCAGCAAAAACGAGGAAGACCCTCAATGAGATGGACTGACACAGTGGTTGCAACAATAGGCTCAAGCATAACAGTGATGGTGAGGACAGTGCAGGATCGGGCAGTGTTTTGTTCTGTTGTACATAGGGTCACTGTGAGTCGGAATCAACTCGACGGCACCTAACAACAACAGCTCACAATTTCTACTGCACCAATCCTGTTTTTTTCATACCATTTTAAGTTTCGCAGATGATAACTTTCTTACCATAAATGTTTTCAGGCATAAACCCTAACAGTAGAAACTGACTGTTTTTACAGAAATACAAAGCCTCCGTTATGGCTTTGGTAGAATCAACTTTCTAGACCATTACCAGAGACTCACCTTATTTAGAAATTATGTATGGTTGCCAGATAAAATACAGGATGCCCAGTTAAATGTGAATTTCAGATAAACAATGAATAATTTTTAGTGTAAGTATCTCCCAAATATTGCATGGTACATACTTATACCAAAAACTACTCATTGTTTAGTGAAAATTCAAATTTAATTGGGAATCCTGTCTTTTTATTTGTTACATCAGGCAACCCTAGAACTAGGTCTTCCTACTTCATAAATGGGAAGTAGGACCAGAAAGTCAGGGACAAGGCTGAAAGAAAAACAAAGCTTCAAGGCAAGAATTCACTTTCTTGCCAAAAAACAACCACCTCAGCAACATACCTTAAAACAAATTACAAACTCTCTATAAATAGCCCAAACTAATTATTGAATGTATACAATAGGAAAGCCCAGTGGAACTCAGACAGTACTTTTACATTGCAATCAGGTTTCTCGACTCCAATAAATTTACTACATCTCCTGTATTTCATAAATAATTGCTTTTAAAATTTGCTGAACAACAATTCAGAACTGCTGTCCCTTGATACAAAAATAAAAAGATGCAGGTAAATCACTGAGATTCATGAGATTCACATCCTCATAATGACTTTTTAGATCCTATTTCTTATGAAGGAGAAATTGCTGCTAAGACTTCAGACAGATATGCCAAATTATCCCTCACTTTCTCCAAGTGAATTTTCTACATCTATAGAATATGACAACTTTCACCATTCTGGGAGAATACTGACATTCTGAACTTCTTGAAAGGCTTTCATTTACTAAACACATTACATCATCAGGAATTTCGAAGAGAAAATCTCCATGCCCTTCTAACCTTCTAATTTGCAACCAACAAACACAATTTGTGTCATGTGCTTTGGGGAGGTGAAAAATAGGAGACACTTAGTTGTAAGTCAAAATCTAAATCACAGTCCCCCTGACAATCTGGTGATGACCTGTGGTATGACTTTCCCAAAGAACAGAAGAAAAATAAGTTATTTAGTATGATGCTTCATTTAAAGCCAGAAAACCTTCTAATTATAAGGGCACATATTATATCCTTGCATTTCAATAATAACATTTTATCTTGAATCCTTAATCATGTGCAGTCATTTAGCCTAGGCAAAGATCCAAGGATTAACAAGAGTAAAAAACATGAAATTCAAGATTGCAGGGGTGTTTTTAGTTCCACTAGCAAGACCACATAAGAGAAAACATGTATTAGCACCATCCGTAATCCACCTGGCATATCCATTACCACCATGCAGAGACTAAGCACAAGACTAAATACACCACCAAATGTCCTGGTAGTTAATTCTGAACGCCTCTATTTCAAAATGCAGTATGACCAGCACAACTTTTCAACAAGGGTTATTTGCTGATGAAAAGAAAAGGCTAAAGAAAACATTCTTACAACATTTACAAGTGCATTTGATCTATTATCACTCTGTGGAAACAAACTATATTTAATATTTCTATAAATTTGGCAGTTGAGAGTTTTACTTTTTAAAACGAGGCAGTTTCATGAAAAAAAACAGATATTTTTAATCTCTCTTCAGATGGTTAATTTTACTGCTTAACTGACCCTACTCATAGTACATACATGTATACTAAAATATGTGTAGTTTATATAAAAATAAATAAAAGCCTTGCACTTCCTCCACCAGTGCTCAAGGATACATTACCAAGCAATCAGATAAGGGTAATGATGAACTACACAATACAGTTAGCACCTATAGAGTGGTTTTCTACAAATACATTGCAAAATGACGAACAAATGTGTTACATTTCAGAACAGAGCTTTTTAAAAAATTGTTGTGAAAATACAGACAGGTATTTTGATGTTACATGTTAAGAAAGGTCCAAAGAGGCAAATGTTAGCAACTTTAAATCTATAGGATTCCAGAGGAACTCTGGAGACAATGACTATGCATTCAGAGAGTAGAGTATGTTTAAGGTAAGTGTCTCTTCTTGAGGGTCTAATTAGGTTTCATCCCCTCCCTCCTTTTTTTTTTTTTAATCTCATAGAGACACTTTAGCAGAAACTATCAGCTTTGTCAGAACACCCAAATCCTGGCAGTGAACCATAAATTGACCATTACCATAAAAAGAGCTGCTAAATGAGAAACCATGTGCTCAGTATAAAACTAATTTCATGCTTTCAAAAGCACACAGTGGCTTCTAGCAAGATAGTGACCCTGGGACTTGCCAAGACAAATTGGTGAACACAAATGGTTTGCTCCTGATCCATCTGCTTAGCCAAGCTTTACATGTACTGGCAGTAAATGGGGTTCTCGAATCTTCAGTCAAACAAATACACACTTATCTCAAACTTTAGAGCTGAAAGCCATAAAACACCTGCCTCAAATAAATTTAGCAAGAAAAGCACAAACACATATATACACACACCCCATGTGCCATGTTAGTTTCCAATTAAATGAAAATAGATATCTCTGCACACCTAACATACTAGCAGACACTTAATAAGCATAATTTGAATACATCGTAACTCTCACACTCAATTCTTGTTTAGAAACAGCTTCTCATCATGTAGGACTAAGAGTTTAGCAGAGGCTCAGAAAAAGGACTCTATCTACTTGCAGGCTAACTTTGAGCCTGCCCTTATCTAGTTGGCTTTCAAATACTTTATACTTATAATGCTATATCAGACCTTTCTGAGTATGATCATTCAGTAATTTAACTTCCCAGTGAGCAGCAGTACTTTATTTACATTTAAATAATAAAATCTGCTACATTTTAAAATGTCACATCTAATTAGAACAAGCTTACGAAGAAATGCTGGTAATCTTTCCCTTCTCTCATATAACACATCATCACTAAGAAATCAATTACTGTCCAGTGCATGACAGGTCATAACTTTTAATTATTAATAATGTCAGCTTTAACAAGGTGTCAACTCCAGTATGTAATCTATGTCACTTACTTTCTTAGCTACCTTGTAAACATGACTTGTTTCCTCCCATATATTTTTCATGTCAAAGATTCTATAAAGTACATTTAGTTCATAGCCTTTTTTTATATACCCGAAGCATATAATAATGCTGTTAATTACCTACTTTCAGTATTGATAGCAAATCACATAATGTCACTGACTTATTCTGAATAATGTTTAAAATGCAAAGGAAGTCACCTACTGGTAAGATGTCCTCGGCAAACTGCTAGCACAGAAAGAAAAGAACGCTTATCACACCCATTTAAGGAGTAACTTTGCAATAAAATGAAAGAATCATGTATTTTTCTCTTTCATTTTATCCCTTCTGATTTGTCAGCACAACGTGATAAACACAATTGATGACTCCACAGAATCAAACGCAACGTACAGAAGAATCTGTTACTGACACCCCAGATCCCAGCATCCAAGTTTTAGAATAAAAATGCTCACCTCTACTAGGAAGTCCACTCCACATCCTGGCAGGGCTTTCACCAGCCTAGACAGCAACCAACTTGAATAAATAAAACTTCCAGTATGTGACAGTATAATGCACAGTGTTACCGAGACTTGACTCCAGCCCTGATTATCTGTGTGACAGTACCACGTTATATCAGTGCAGCTCCAAACCTTCCCAGATGCTGGCTTATTGCACTGCTCATTGAAAATCCTTTACACGCTGGCAACATTTTAGGGAAGGACAAGCACATTCTGAGTCATTTGTAAAGAAAGCAAAGCAATTTCAATTCTATATCTCCATGCGTGCTGAAATCAGAAGCACTGTCAACCTACAAGTCTGAGGTGGATTTATGCCGAGAAACAGGCAACCTAAGCCTTCATTATCAATGCATGAAATCAGCCACTGTGATCAAATTCACACAAACCACAAAAAGGATATGATTATGAACGTCTCCACAGATTTAGCACCAAACCTTGTGGAAGGGAGAATCGTCTATCGAAATTGTGTAAATGTTAAAAATAGCTCTGGCTTTTCAACAATGAGCAGGATACAGAGAAGAAATCAGTAGTCTATATTATAAGGACTTATCATAAAGGCTGCAAAAAAACAAAATAGCTGTAGATTCCTGGGACTTCTCTGTAGACAGATGAAGGCACAAGAAGCTATTACAATTACAACAACAAGAAAATTCCATACATTTAACACAGAAGCCCATTAAAGAGCAAGTTAAATATATTTACTCCTAAGCACCTGTCTTTAAGATTAAAATAATGACTATAGTAAAAATTTGCAGAGCTATGAGCACCAGGGCAAAATACTATTAATTTCATTCAAAGACAAGTTCTTAAGCAATAAAGATTTAAATATATGTTGTGTAACAAGAAAGTAAACATGTAAGATACAGAATATTTTTATCTTCATATGATTACTTATTATTTAAAAAAAAATCTATAGCTAATTAAATCAACACATCTCTATCCCACCCACCCCCAAATTTACCCTTTAACCTTTTATCATCATTCCGCTTTTGTCACTAAAATATAAGATGCAAGAGACAACTGGCACATTCTTACAAAGGCACAAGGTAGCTACACCCCAGAAAGTAGCAGCAACAATGATTTGAGATCACAAAATACAGAGCTTTGATGTGTATGTGCAAAGTATAAAGGAAAAAGGACAAAACTTGTATCAAAAAAATCATAAAAATAACTAGAATAAATTCCTAGTAGGCAGCATTACCAAAGAACACATGTAAAATTATATTCAGATTTTTTAAAATGGCTATTGATTTCTCATTGAGACTATAAAGGCAGAACAAATCAGGAGCCAATAAAGGCAATCCGTGATTTGAGGATCTCCTTCAAATGACTGTGTTCAGTTCTAGTAATACTACCAGCTCTTGGGTGCTACATTTAGTAGTGTCTTACAACCTAAAGCTTCTGTATAAAAATAAGCAATTTGTCACAATATGCATTTATATAACAGAGCATTCTGGAGCAACGTTAAACATGGCACTCCCATGTGTAAGGAAACACCTAGGTATTCCCACTATGCCCCTTTATGTAGAGTTAACTCCTTAGAAGCTACTAGTTGGATACCCTTCCTTGGAGACAGATACAGACATACATGATTGGACATGCACACAAGCAAACACAAACACACACCTGTCATAGGAGAACCTACTTACCCTTTGCAGTTACTTTTGCCCCATGAATTCCATTCATTTAGTGGCTCATGAAGCCCCTAGGGTAGCATTTGAATGCGTTATGAGTAATGTCATGGGACATCTCAGATTCAACAATTGCTCAGTGTTCTCTCTCTTTTACTTTTCTCTCATTACTTTTCCTATCTTAGATAATAGTTCATGACAAATAATGTGCCTAAAATTATTTTATTACCATACGTGAAGCTCCCTAGTAATAAAAGTTTAAAAACAAACCACAATATTTGATTACATGTCCTTGATCCCTTATCTAAAAGACTTAGTGCCAAACACATTTTGAATTCAAATACTTTTAGATTTTGGATAGGTAATACACTGCACAAATTGTGTAACACCTCCAGTGGGGTCTGGAGCAACTCTCTGTAATCAGACACATTAACATTTATGTAGCAAAACCTGTGCATATTCATACTAGATGGGATAAATAAAGACTATAATTAACTTCACATAAGTTCAGGTCAGGTTTTGCCATCAAATGAACTACAAAATCTTGTGGTTTTCAGAGGTTACTAGATTTGGGGAATTACAGGTAAAGGACTGGGGATCTGTTGAAATGATTGCCTAAAGTTTTATAAGATTAGGGGTTAGGTAACAAACACCTAAGCAGGTGTCTTCTTGTT